TTACTTATGCATTTTTTAAGAAACTGAACAGAAAACAATTTAATTTTTAAAAATAGCTAAACACCTTTGAAAATTATGAAAATCTTACAGCAGCTACATATTAATCGAAAACAGCTGCTCCTAAAATGTCAAGGCAATCGGACTAGTATTCGATTTATAGTGAATTTTTTCATTCGAAACAGCCAATAAGAACTTCGAAAAATCATAACGGCAATTATACACTTCCAATCGACACAAGGCCAAAGCCATTGTGTTCGAATTAATCCTAGGTTCCTAATCCATAGCAACTTAACACTTTTAATGAGCTCTCGTTCGATTCGCACGAATCGACAAAATTCACATATCAACATGTCGATTATTATAACGAACAACATAAACACATAAATTCATATATCCATATGAACACATAATGCACGAACCAACAAAACGATAATTACGTAAGATAAACGAGAAGTCGAGACTCGATACCGTTCTCGGGAAACGAGCGAGAAAGGTTCGAACGGTTCGACGGGACGTCGGGCTCGACTGTTTCACGCGTCTCGCCGAAAAGAGGAGCAGCGACTGATCTCGGCTGCTTGGGTCGCTGCGGCAGTTCACGGCTGAGGAGTTGACGACTGGTCTTCGCCGGAAAACGGCTCGTGGCAGAATGGGGTGACGTTGGCCGGCTGCTGAGTGCGGACGTCGAAGGTCAGCGGCGCTCGATGGGCGTTGCCGGTTGGTGCTGATCGCAATTCGAGAGAGAAGGGCTCGCGAAGGTCACGGCTTGAAGCTCGTTGCCGAGGTCGCCGGAAAAAAGCTGCTTCATGAGAAGGGCCGCTGTGGAGGAGGGTTGCTGTCGCGGCTGAGATGGACTGGTCGGTGGTGGCAGAGGATCGCGATGGGGCCTCTGCTGGATGTTGCGGCGCGGCAGGGAGCAGGTCGTCGGAAGTCGCTGCGCCTGCTGTGAAGGGAAGAGCGTCGGAGGCGGCGATCGCGTGCTCACGGGGGAAGGTTGACGGAAAAATTCAGGGAAAAATTCAGAGAGAGAGGGATGGCGATCGATTCCTTTCAGAGAATCAGAAATAAGAAAGAAAAAAAAAAGCGAGAGGGAGATTGGGAGGAGCAGCTGCGGGAAAGGAATTTGAGGAAGAAGAAACATAGATACAAGTTGTATATATATATATGCCCAATGATTAGGGTTGACTATTCTTGATGAGCAAAAACAAAAAGGAAGGGCCGGATTTGGAAAGCTGTTGGGCCATTTTTCTAACAGTTGGGCCGGTTTTTGGAGCAGCTGATTGGGTCGGTTCACGACATTAATCCGGCTCACGGGCTCGTTTTCGGTTCACGTGGGTATTCTCGGGCTCGATTTTGTTCAAACGCACGATAAAATAATAAACGAACAATATATTTATTTTTCATATATATATATATTAATACACATTTAATAATTATAACAAAAAAAATCATTTAGATATTTCGACAATTAGCATTTAATCACATTTAAGCAATTAATAATATTAAGACATTCAAGAAAAATAAATATAAATATTATCACCAAAATAATAATCATCATTAAAAAAAAAAAATAATAATAATAATAATAATAATAATTCCCAAATAATCCACAAATAAATGGGGCACTACAGGAAGCAAAAGACACATTTAATAATTTAATCACAACCATCTCGCTCGTCTTTACGTCACTGCATCCAGCTTATCTCATCCTAAAGAAGGAAGAGAAGACAAAAACAGAAAACAAACAATGGGGGTGAGCATAACCAACAAGCTCACCATTATCGCATAGTTATCCAGTATAAAGCATTTTAAAACAATTTCACAGTATGCATAGAATCCGAGGTCTATAATTATGGAATACATCACAAATGTACCCACCAGTTTGCAGCGATAGTTCACAATCACGAATCTCGAAAGCAGGGTGAGGTCAGCACCTCTAGACACCTACATTAAGTCCAGATATTAAAGTCAACGCTTTATCTAGACCTAATTAGAAAATCACAACTTTGACTTAGTCGAACTTGATTCGACTAAGTTGTTCGTGAAGTCCTATGGATGTTGGAACTCTAGGACTTAGACTCGACCAAACCATTTATTGGAGTTCACACAATTTTAAATAAAAGACAATCAAAACCAGCCACCAGGAAACACATAACAAATTGGTCACCAGCACTAAACAATAATTACTATTTGAAAATAATGGCCAAGAATTACACATGTTTAAGAAGGTCTAGCAAACCAACGAGTTAGGGTCTGAAATTTTAACACAAAATTCATCTCCCAGTACTTACAAAAATCCCCAAGTTTCAGCCCCAAATGCAAAATACGATTTTTAAATATTCACACAAGTTATCAGCAAAAACAAACATCGAATCACAACCAAAACTAATGAACGGTTCACGACTTGAAATTTTAACACCAAATACTTCAGCATGTGAATAACATTATATAAAAATTTCAGCCATTAACATTAAATACACGAATTTTAAAAATTCAAACAAGCTTCTGCAGATTTCCAATTTTCATCAAAACTGAACCTAAATGAATCCAAATAAATCCCATCTTTTTACATACTAAAACGCAGCACAAAAACAACGTAGACACCAAATTTCAGAAATTTACCATATCAGGTCAATTTATCATAGTTAAAATATGATTCTGCAGAAATCATTAAATAATTTTTAACCCTAGCAAATGAAGTCCAAAAATTTTGAAACTTCTACACTACCTATAAATATGTCAGAAACATAACATATTCGAATTTCAACAGATTTGGATCACAACTCAAATTATTATGCATTTAACAAGAAACTGCCTAGGTCGAAACAAATTATGAAATTATTTAAAATAGCTACAAGCCGAAACAATTATGAAATTTTTACACGAACCTTATATTTATCAAAGGACATAACACTTAAAGTTTCAACGCAATCGGAGCAACATACAATTTTTGATGAATTTTACACATAAAACAGCAATTATAAATTTCGAAAATTCATATCTTTCAATTTACACATCTAATTGACATAAGGTTAAAACTATTGTGTTCATGACAATCTTAAGTCCCTAAATCCACAGAAACTTAACACTTTTAACGAGTTCTCGTTTGATTCGCACGAATCGACGAAATTCACATTAAATCGTGATAATAACATCACAATAAATCTTTATATTCATAAACACATAACATCATAGAGCATCTCAATCTGCAACGAATGACTAACACATCAAACAAAACACAAAAATAAATAGCAAAAGAGTCGAAGCTCAATACCGTTCTCGGGAAGCGCGAGAATGGTTTGAACGGATTAACAGGACGATGGGCTCGACGGCTACGCGCGTCTCGCCGGAAAAGGAGGGCAGCGATTGATGTTCTCGGCTACTGGGTTGCTTCCATGGACGAAGGCGATCTTGTCGGGGCTCCTGCTGGTTCGTGGCGGCGCGTGGGAGAGCAGCGACGACGGTCGGAGTTGCAGCATCTAAGAACAACTCGCAGGGGCGACTGCTTGTGGCGTCGCTGCTGGGGTTGGTCGCCGGAAGGGCCTGCACAGAGGTTGGTCGGCGGAGGAGAAGAGCTCGCTGGGAAAGAGGGCTCGTCGGCGAAGTTGCATGCGCTGGTCGTCGCGGAAGTTGCAGGTCGTCGGGAACGTGCAGCGGCGATGGTGGTCTCACGAGCAGACAAGGCTCCGATGGCGAAGGGCGTTCGGAGTTGCAGCGATTGAGGTGGCACGGCCGGATTTCAAGCGAGAGAGATGATGAGGGATAGCGATCGATTGAGAGAAACAGATTTGAGAGGGGAAGAAATTGTGACTGCGGGCGTGATGAGTGAAAGAGATAGAGGCGAGTGTGATTAATCTGCTGTGAAAGGGATGAGAGATTTCTTTTCTATGCGTGAGATTGACGAGAGAGAAAAAAGGCTGCGCGCTTTTTTTTTTACGAGGAAGGAGCAGATTTTTGGAACAGAAAGGCTGCGGGTGAAAAATTTAGGTTACAAGTCTTTCCACACAAGAAATAAGGAGGCGGGTCGGGTCGAGTCTGGTCTATTCGGGGCGCGGGTTCAATTCGACCGGGCCGGTTCATGCGGGTTTCGCCAACAATAACCAGGCTCTCGGGCTCGGTTTCATATTTTCGACGGCTCAATTGGATCGCACGATAAATTAAATAAAACTGGATATAATATTTATTAATTACACACGTTATTTTAAAATAAATATAATAATAATATTAAGAATAAAAATAGACATTTGGGCAATTAATTACAATTAGACAAATAATAATATTTATATATTCAATAATAATAATAATAATAATAATAATAATAATAATAATAATAATAATAATAATAATAATAATAATTAATCATAATAATTCTTAAAAGTCCACAAATAAATGCGGCATTACAGCAAGACCTGGTCGTACGATGGACAATATATCTTGTTAAAGCCATGGACACCAGGTAGAGTGGTGTTCACAGAGGAGGATGAGAGGATTAAAATCTGGGTGCAGATCCAAAACCTTCCCCTCTATTGGTTGACTACTGAATCGGGGATGAAGATTGGGAAAATTCTGGGCGATGTGCTTGATGTGCAAATCCCAGGTAATGGAAACACTAGGGGCCAGATGATAGAAATCCTCGTGGAACTAAAACTGAAGGACCCACTCCTAAGGGGCACCACAATCAAACAATGAGGTTGCAGCAACTGGTGGATTTCAGGTATGAGAACATCCAAAATTTCTGTTTTTACTGTGGTTTAATTGGGCATTCTGATAAGAATTGCTCTACTAAAAAAGAAGATGTTAAAAAGAACTTGATTAACTTGGGCCAATATGGTGAATGGTTGAGAACAGGCATGTCTGGGTTTGGGGAATTTAGGAGTCCTAGTAATCATCTGTCTGGGAGTCAACCTAATGATCAAAGTCCTGTCCCACAACCTAGTGCTCACATTGACACTCATGTGGCTAGTGGGAAGAATAATGCTAGTGACGGTACTACTCTTGGTAGTATCAATGATATCACTGAGTGTGGAGGACTTGAGAAGGTTGTTGTTGAGAAGGGATCTAAGGAAATTGTTTCTAATGCTGATCAAGTTCAAAATGAAACAGTGAACCTTACTGACAACCTTGAGCTCAACAATGCTCAACTTGTTGAGGTTGACATTGCTACTTCTTCTCTTAGAAGGAGTCCTGTCCTTAAGAAAAAATCTTCTTTTATCAGAAAACCTAGAGAAAGGCAGTTGGTTAGTTGTGATATTATGTGTGTTGACTCTGAAAGCAAATTAGAGTAGATTATGGGCATTAAAGAGGGTAGTACCAGGAAAAGGCTTATGTCTGATTTTGAGCAGAGTTTGGTCAATGGAAGAAGTTGAAACCTATTGAAAACTCAAATTCTGAAGAGGTGGAGGCAACCAACCCAAACTGGTCCCATGGTGTCCAATGAAAGCCATGGTGTGGAATTGTAGAGGTCTGGGAGGACCCTCTACAATTTCCCAGTTCAAGGAGGCCCTTAGGCTCCACCTCCCTGATTTTGCTTTTATTGAAAAAAAAAAAAAAAAAAAAACAAAAAAACAAAAAAAAACAAAAATTTGTTACTTCAGTTTGTAGAAAACTTAGGTTAGCGGATAGATGGTTCTATGGGAATCCTTCTGGTTCTAGAGGAGGGATGTTATTGTGTTGGTCAGATCAAGTATTTGTTCTTGAAATTACCAACATGGGGTTTTGTTTAGTGGTGAAGTTCAACTGGAAAAGCAACATTGAAAACATGTGGGCTGCCTTTGTATATGCAAGTACAAATCCAGTTGAGAGGGCTACTCAATGGAGTATTCTGTTGAGGAAAAGTCTTTCGTGTGGTGACTTATGGTTTTTGAGGGGAGATTGTAATGATATTTTGGGGAATCAGGAGAAGAAGGGTGGGAGAATTAGAGATGAAGCTAGTTTTGCTCAATTTAGAAATTTTGTGTATGGGCTAGGAGTAGTTGAGCCCAAGTCTGTTGGGTATTAGTTTACTTGGTCTAACAACAGAATAGGTAGGGAGTTGGTAGAAGAAAAGTTAGATAGATTTTTTGTGTCCTGCATGGGGTCTAAAATTCTTTAATTGCCATGTTAAACATGTTCCTATAATATCTTCAGACCATAGTATTGTAATTTTGGAGGATCTTAATACCTTTCCATCTGGTAAGAAGAGGTTTGCTTTTGATGCTAAATGGGTTAAAAAACCTGGTTTCTTGGAGGTAGTTGATGAGGCCTGGAGTAGAGATGTTCAAGGACCTGCGTTGTGGGGAATTCAAACTAGAATAAGGAGGGTTAGGGTAGCCTTGCTTAAATGGAGTGCAGGGGCCAGAACTAATTATAGCATTGAAATTGAGAACTTAAATTGCAGGATTAGAGAGATGGAAGCATTAAGTGTAGATAAAGATTGCGATGATTGGGTTAATTGTAGAAACCTTTTGCATTCTGCTTATGATGATGAAGAAACCTTTTGGAAATTGAAATCTAGAGTTACTTAGTTAAAAGAAGGTGACAGGAGCTCGAAGTTTTTTCAAGCCTCTGTGAAGCAGAGAAGGAAAGTGAACAGTTTGGATAACATTACTACTGCTAGGGGGGTTAGATGTGAGAATAGCACTGAGATTCCTACTGAACTGATTAACCATTTTGATGATGTCTATAAATCATCTAATCCTCTGGCAATAGTTTCTCTCTTGCAAGCATTCATACTTCTGGGACAGGGGATATGAACTTGGAATTAATTAAAGATGTGGAAGTTGAGGAGATCCAGGATATTGTGATGGGAATGGAATAGTGCAAAGCCCCTGGGGCTGATGGGATGGCAGTTATGTTCTATCAAAAAGCTTGGCCTGTTATTAAAGACTCATTTTGCCAGAATATACAAAATTTCTTCCAGAAGGGCAGGTTACCTAAAGGGCTGAATCACACTATCTTAACTCTGATTCCTAAGAAGACTAATGCTCAGGTCGTATCTGATTTTAGACCAATTAGTTTATGTTCTGTTGTGTATAAAGTGATTGCAAAAATTCTGGCTATCAGACTTAGGAGCATTCTTCCTCATTGCATATCTCTTGCTCAAGCTGTCTTTGTTCCTGACAGGCAAATCATTGATAATGTGGTAATTGCAAATGAATGCATTCACTTTCTCAACAGTAAAAGAAAAGGGAATAATAATTGGATGGCTCTTAAATTAGATATGACCAAGGCTTATGATAGGGTTGAATGGTCCTTTTTGGGTAGAATTTGTAGGCATATAGGTATCTACCCTACTTTTGTTGATTGGCTGCTTGCTTGTGTGTGTCCCACCTCATTTTCTTTTAATTTGAATGGCATGCCCCAGGGTTTTCTTAGGCCCTCTAGGGGATTGAGAAAGGAGACCCTCTTTCTCCATATCTCTTCATTTTTATTTCAGAGGCATTTTCTAATTTAATTAACCAAGCCAGCTTAAGAAAGAGTACCAGGGGGTTAGGATAGGTAGAAAGGCTCCTGTCATTTCTCATTTGTTTTTTGCTGACGATTCTATCTTGTTTTGTAAGGCTAATAAGCATCATGCTCAATTAATCCTTAACATTTTGGGTGCTTATGGCCTTGATTCTGGTCAGGCTGTTAATCTTCAGAAGTCCTCTATTTTTTTTCTCTAAAAATACTTCTCCTGCTTCTCAAGCTGAAATATGCTCTTACTATTATTGCCTGTGTTCAATCTTCTAGGTACCTAGAGATTCCTCTAGGGATATGGAGAACCAAGAGAGGAGTGTTCAAATTCTTGTCTGAGAGAGTGAAACAAAAATTAGAGAGTTGGAAAAATGTTTTCTTGAGTGAAGCTGGTAAAGAACCCCTTATTAAACCTGTTTTGTGAGTTTTGCCAACATATGTCATGTCTTGTTTTAAGGTTCCCCAATCTCTGATCAGTGCCATTAGTAGGGATATGGCTTCTTTTTGGTGGGGTAAAGGGGAGGCTAGGGGAGATAGAATTCACTGGGTGAAATGGGAGGATTTGGCTAAACCTAAAATGCTAGGGGGGTTGGGATTTAAAGACTTGAAGGCTTTTAATGAAGCACTTCTTGTGAAACAGCTCTGGAGGATTCTTTCCAAACCCAACTTATTGGTTAGCACAAGGGTAGGTACTATTGGGGAACAAATCTGTTTGAGGTGAAAGCCAAGAGCTCTGATTCTTGGTTGTGAAAAAGTTGGATGGGGGTTAGGGGGAGTCTGAAGTTGGGAGCTAGATATAGGGTGGGAGATGGGAGTTCTATACATGTGTGGAATTCACCTTGGGTTCCCAATATCTCTGGGTTCAAACCTAAGTGTGAATTTCCAAGTGATAGAGAGAGGGTAGTTTGGGTAAGTGAATTGTTATTATAGGGTGGCAAAGGGTGGGATAGAGAATTGGTTTTACAATGTTTTAATCCTTATTAAGCAGGTTTAATTCTCAACATTCCTTTGACCAATTCTGGGACCAAGGACAGACTTATATGGAATGGCCACAATTCAGATTCATTCTCAGTGAAGGCTATGTACCAGTCCATCTTAACTAACAAAGGCCAGAAATTTGCACATATGGTTGGAACCGACAACCAAGATAAACTCAGGAAAGTTTGGCACACAATCTGGAATCTACCTATTCTGAACAAAATTAAATTTTTTTTGTGGAAGTGCTGGTTGGAATCCTTAAGTGTCAAAAACAGATTCCAAGCCAAAGGTGTACAGGTGGATGGAACATGTGAATGTTGTGGCATGGGGGTGGAGGACATTAATCATATGTTGTTTACCTGTGAAAGAGTTGCAAGGTGTTGGGAGTTGTGTGAGGTGCAATGGAATAGGTTGGAGTGTGGTAATAGAGATTTCAAAAGTTGGTGGGGCGAAGTGAGTGGGAGTTTCAAAAGCAAGCGGATGGTGGAAAGATTGAGTCCATCTACCTGCTTGCTATGGGAAGTGTGGAAAGCAAGAAATGAATGGGTTTTCAACCAAACAGGGGTGGGAGAAAGAATTGTAGTGGAGAAAGCATCTGTGGGGTGGAAAGAAGTATTAGCTGCTAGAAAAGGAGAGAGCATGGAGAGGCAGGAGGTAAATTGGAACAACTTGAACTAGGTGGATCATTTTCAAGGTGGAGTAGGTAAGCTTTGTTTAGCTATCAGTGCTCACAAATTCAGTCAAGGGAGAGTTGGTCTAGGGTGTTGCAGCAGTTGAAGATAAAATACTGAATATGTGGACTGCTACATTGGACAAAGTAGAATCAGAAGATGTTGTTGAACTGTTGGGAGTGAGATAGGGATTAGAGGTGGCTTCTTTGCATGGCTTGATGGATTTTTGCAGTTGTGTAAGAGACCATAACTAGATTCAAGACCATGTCAGAGATAGAGCACTTCAACAGCAGTCTAGGCAACTTGTTATGGATATTGACTTTTTATCTTCAGTGCTTGTTCGGTGTGTGTTTATTTCTGGTTTTTCTCTTTGTGTTTCTAGGTATAGATTAGCCAAGTTGGCTATTAAGGGGGATTAAGATCTGATTCCTCGAGTTAGTAGGATGCCCATGTTTAGGATGTGATATATTGGGTTCATATCGGTCAGTTGATCGCCGGTTGTAAGACTTTGCTTTNATAACTAAACAAGGCAGAGAAGTCGGGATTGTCTAGGGTCAGGTATCCCTTGTACCTACTTAAAATTAGGTACCCCCCTAGTTCACCCTTAGATTGACTAAAAAATGAAAATCAACGATGGATTCAAGGGTACAAGGCAAAAAAGAATTTTGGTAGCCTTTTACTTTGTCTCGTACCCCTCGTACTGGTTAAAAACCTATTATACCCTTCGTACTCCTTGTACCTATTTTATTTATTCTCAAGCCCCTTATACCTATTTTATTTATTCTCAAGGCCCTTGTACCTATTTTATTTATTCTGAAGCCCCCACATAGTTATCTAATTTATATAACAATCCTACAAATTCAAAAACAATTCATCACAACCTAAAAATATATTTTACGATTCCAATTCTTCGTCTTCATCTGGAAAAAAAACTGTTCTTCTTCATCTTCTTCCTCATTGTTCTTCTACATACAAATCCGACCACCTCCTTCATCCTCCCCTCATGATTCAATATCATAACAATATTATGACCCCAACCTATATTCGAACGATTTACGATCAATATGTATCTTGTCGATAGAATTTTCTATATAGAGATTTCAATCGCACGCACGATTCATTGAGGTACTTTATTTCGAATGTGAAGTATGATTGTAAATTCTTGGCATGTTTCTAATATTTGTTGTGAATTTTGTTATGTAATTCCTGGATACAAAACCCTTGCAGTCATGTTATTAACATAGGTTGTTTTGGTGAAAATTTTCGCTTTGGCTGTGCATCCTTCTAATGTAATTGATTGTTACGAATAATGATTTGATGTGAGGAGGTTGATTTGTTAACTAGTGGTTGATTGTTGATAAGTTGGTTTTGTTGTATTTTTAAAAGCACATTACGTGTTTGATGTAATGCCTACTTAGGATAACAAAAACAAGAAGGTAGTGAAGAAGCTTGCTAAAAAGTACCATGCTTACTCGGTATTTTTTAAAGCACATTAGGTGTTGTGACAGTTTGTGCTCAGGTTGACCAAGTTTACCTAAATTATTTTCCTTATGTTCAGCTGGTTTGCTTTTATAACTTTGCTTATAACTTTGCATTGTTTGGTATTTACTGATACATTTGGTTGAAGGAAATATCTATGAAGCACTTTGATTTGAAAAAAAAAAACCAAATCTCTGTTATTTATGTTTCTGGCAATGACATCCCTATTGTTATTTGATCTCGTTACATGGAATGAATATGCCACCATAGTTGTTTCAAGGATTGGATACGCCATCATTTTTTCGTGATTGAATCAACAAATTAAGAGACGAATTACATGGTCCATCATTGTTATGTGGAATGTTACATGGGCTCTGGCTATCCATAGAAAATTGAAAAACTTCATTTGGAGATGTTGGCATGAGTTTGTGGGGACTAGGGTTCAACTCAAAAAGAGATGAATTGAATGTGGTGTAGTATATGAGGTTTGTGGGAAGCGTGAGAAAAATATTGATCATATCATAATTCAGTGTAGTAAGGTTGTTAAGTGCTGAAAACTGTTAGGTATTTCTTGGGATTGTCTCGATAAGCGGGGGTTTTGTAAATGGTGAGGTACCATGGCTAGGGGGCTGGGGATGAGTGAGGGGTCAGCTGAGAATATCTTTGCTTATTGAGCAATGGTAGGTTAGGTTTGGGGGGGAGAGCTTTTTGTGAGGAGAGGAACTTACAACTATGGGATGCATCTAGGGACTTCATTGGAAGTTCAGTGGATGCCTATATTGTGGGTGCTCTTTAGGTACTCAAATAAGCAGCCAAGAATAACTGGAAAAATGTGACCTGCTATATGGACAACAAGGAAGCTGTCATCTGGTGCTGTATGAATTTGGAAGCAGGGGATATGAGAGCTACAGCTGTGGGTGAATTGAAGTCTTTGTGCTCTTCTGTTCATTCTTGTAGTTTTATTTTTGATAAGGATATTTGTATAGTTTTTGCTTCTTTAGCCCTATCTGGCTAGGCTATGCAAGGAAATAACTTGGCTGTTGTTCTTTTTTTTTTGCCTTTGCAGACCCAGACCTATTTAGGTCTCGTTGATGTAAAACAATCTTTGTGAGCTTAATATATCTTCTGGTTTTAATGTGGAAAAAAAAAACAAAAGAATCATCAAATGAAGCAACAAGAACACTACCTTGCTCCTGTTGGATCAAGAAGCAACATCTTTTGCAATTCACACGATTCAATATTCATGGTAAGAATCCATATGTGATGAAAATAAAAACACCTCGCATTATCTCTTAAACTAAACAATGGACCCTACTTTCTAGAGGGATGGGAAAGAATATGTGAAGGATGCAGCTGCAATGTTGGATTTCGAGTTCACAGAAAGAGGGCTTACAAAACATGCAATCAAGAATATAAGCCATGTGAGTAAATATAACATTTTAATCTTATTATATAACATATTCATCTTATTATGTAACATGTTCATCTTCATTTTTAACATATTCAATGGATTATGCAACATATTCATCACATAATGCAACATGTTCATCTTAGTATGTACCATGTTCATCTTATTATATCACATATTCATCTCAGTATATAAGATATTCATCTTATTATAAAACATGTTCATCTTAATTTTTAAAATGTTCAATGGATTATGCAACATATTCATCTCATAATGCAACATGTTCATCTTAGTATGTATTATAGCACATATTAATCTTATTATATAACATATTCATCTTATTATGTAACATGTTCATCTTCATTTTTAACATGTTCAATGGATTATGCAACATATTCATCTGATAATGCAACATGTTCATCTTAGTATGTAACGTGTTCATCTTATTATATCACATATTCATCTTATTATATAACATATTCATATCATAATGCGACATGTTCATCTTAGTATGTAACATGTTTGATATGAGATATTATATACTTAGAAAATATTCCGCTTCGCGGGGCCGGCCGTACAAGCCTAATATCGGAAGAACCACGCTGGTCGAACAATAATAGGCTGGAAGAAAGTGGTCGAACATGATAGCAGATTGGATCGATGATCGACCTAGTGAATGGGAGCTCGATCAAATCGAGCACTCAGTAAGTGAAGAGCAATCGGGGGCGTGGTTGGAACGCGAGGAGGCGCGTGGCTCTCGTCAGGAAACCTCAAGGGAATATTCAAGGGAATAATTACCCCTGCGCAGCGGGGCACGTGGCAAGAGCGTATTGGTGTAGAGAGATAGTGGCGATAACCACCTCTGACACACACACACTGTGTGTGTACGGACGGGGAGCACGGGTAGGACAACTTACCAAATTCGAGCAGCTCCTAGGGTTGGTATCTCACTCCTATATATATAGGAGTGAGTCCTTTCTTTTTACTTACGATTTATCCATTACATACTTTGGAGAATTGAGTAAAATATACACTGACTTAAGCATCGGAGGCTCTTCACCGGAAAAACCCCCTGGTGTGAGAGTTGCAGGTACGCGGCATTCTATCAGCGAGAAGGAGAAGACGAGCTGATTTCAAGCCGGTCGGAGTGTTTTGCGTTACCATTTGGCGTCGTCTATGGGACCTTTCATTTGAAAAGTGGTGTGCTGAGATTACTGAAGCTTGGTAGCTATGGCGGACAGAATTCCGAGGAGAGATTTGCAAGTGTCGTTTGACGAGGCGTGGACGACGACGAGTTCGGAGCAGGCCCTCCTCTGGGATTCTCCGGACCCTTGCCTACACTAGTGACTCTGATGCTTGTTCCACAAGGTGTGGGAGTCACGTCTGTAACACCCCGCTTATCAGAGTAAATTTTTCGCAACTTTTACTTCGAAAATACTTAACTCTTTCGAAATCTTTTGCGACTAACTCGGGATGCTACTCAAACTCATCATCTTGAAAATCCGTTTATCTTTACACTTTTGTCTAATACTTCTTTAGACATAAATAAAACAGATTTCCTTTAAACTTGCATTTAAAATACCATAATCATATTTCTCATAATGGTAAAAACTTGAAATCTGAAATTCATTAAAATGCAAGTTCAATCCTTAATGTGCATAGCGGAAATACTTGAAAACGTGGTTAATTATACAGACTGTTATAAATGTCCGTATCAAAGCTTGTCTTCATCTGAGTCCACGATCCACACCAACACTGCTCCACTCACACCTCCTCTTCGACCTGTTACCTGAAACTAAAACTCATGGGGGTGAGTAACGAATATGGATAATCATAAACCGATATCTGATCGGTAACCAGAAATCTGTTCTGGTACTGAAACTTAAACTGGCCAATCTCTGATCGGATACGTGTGCACACTCTGATGGATATTTCCAAGGCACCTAATGGCCTCCATCAGAACTTAGGATATAATCTCTGAGAATAAATTACTGCCTCCTCATCCTAAGCGTAAAACTTAAACTGTAGGATATACTCTGAAACAACTGATGGTCTCCTCATCCCATATGACATCAATATCGTACTCAATGTGATACCCATTCAGGGTCCCCACCTTTTTGTCTTTGAAATCATTTGAAAAGAACGATAAGTGCTGTACTGGTACTGTATCTGCAAGTTACATCAAATATAAATAAATATACTAAGTACTATGCTCGTATACTCAATAAGAATTTTAGGATTATTAACTTATTCAAATCTTATAGAAATTCATTAAACTTGCTTTTTCTCAAGTTTATACTTAACTTCTCTTTTTACTTTTACTTAAGGTCAATTACTTAACCTTATAAATCATGTCTTCATAAACATCAATATGGTATTATACTTAGCATGTCATACCTCAAATGTGAAAATAACTATATTTCACATTATACGTGATTGAGTATTTAAACTTAAAACATGCTTACTTTTACCAACATCATCAACATGATTTATAACTTATCTTAATTTAATTTGATCAAGTACTTAATTCATCATACATCATATTTTCCAATCTTTAGATATTGGCTTATACTAAATTTTTACTTAATTAACTTGAAAGTGAAAATAATCTCAAGCCATAATCATCTTTTACTCATAACATTTAATCATGATGTTAATATGTCATACTTAATACAATCTTTATAAAATTGTATACTCAACATATTATACCAAAACTTCATCAAATTACTCATCACTTATATGAGAATTACTCATGATCATCTCATTTTAACAACTTAAACATTTCATGAATATTCTTGCATATATATACTTATCTTTACATATATGCTTTCTTATATTCATAACTTATTCATTTCTCATCTTTAAATTATGAAACTTAACAGTCATATTCTTAACTCATATTTAGACATGTCATAAAAATTTCATAATTTTATCATGCATATATCTCGACTTATTCAAGTTTAAAGTTGCTGCTGGAAACAAGTACATAAAATTCAGCTTGCATGATAAACTTTAAAAATTCATATCTTGAGTTATACTAAACTAAATGACTTGATTCTTGATCCTATGTACTCCTCTTTTACACAAGAAATAACCATAGAAAGCATAGATTTCCAGATTTTTCATAGCTATGTAAAAATCTCATCATAACTGAACACATATGACATATATATGAGCTGGAAATAACTTATTTTCTAGCATGCTTATATTCATATAAAACTTTAATATCTATGTCATATAAAAACATTATTAAACACTTAATATCATCTACTAAACATGTAAACTCATTATCAAAACATGAACTTAAGCATGTAACTTTAAGATAAGTAAATTACCTCCTTCTTGCTAGAATCGTAACTTAATTCTTCACTTCTAAATTCTTCACTTCTCCAAAGTTTCTACTACTCATTCTCTCTTACACTCTTATATAACTTTTGGTACTTAACTTTGGTGTGAGAACTCTGATTTTTAGGCCTCTATTTATAGGCACAAATTGGCAAAACATCATAATGGAGTGAAGAAATGAACAAAATAAACAATTTAAACTTCTAAACTTAATTAATCATAAACTATTTTATGATTAACTTGTATTCTTATCCAAACATAATTAATCATAAAAAATGGCCTTTAGTTATAGCCATGAGTGAGCTTTTTGGTAGATAAAACTTATTCCACCAAGTTTAATAAAATTCTCATCAATTGTTGAAAAAAATGCTAACTTA